GTAGAGCAGCCAGGACACAAACTAGTACCCCAATGAGATCCTGGCACCATAGGGGGCAACTTAACCAACTGTACAACCCCAGCCCCATGGAGCTCTTTAACAAGCACATTCTGATGGTTTCTCCTTAAACTTTAAACATGTATTTATTTTATTGGAAAGACAGAGAGGAGAGGCAGATCTTCCATCCACTGGTCTACTCCCAAATTGCCACAACAGTTGATGCTGAGCCCATCAGAAGCCACAAGCTTCTACCAAGCCAAGGAACCAGATGGGACACAAACTGGTGCCTATAAGGGATGCTGGTGCTTGGAGGTGGAGGATTAGCCAGTAGAGCCATCACACAGTTAAATTTTAATTGAAATCCAAAGAAATTCTAACCTTCAGGTGTCCATCAGCACAATCAGCAGGAAACGGCGAAGAAGAGCCCAGGGTGTACGGGCCCTTGGCGCCTCGGGGACTTCAAGGAGACCACAGACACCCAGGGCTGGCTCCGCCCCTCGTGAGTCAAGGTTATGTCTAGAGAAAGAGCTTCGTCCTACCACAGAAGCATGTGGAATTTTCAGAACTCAGATTTCTCTCCCTTTGTTTTTTTTGTTTGTTTGTTTTAGATTTATTTATTTTTATTGGAATGGCAGATCCCAGAGAAAAGGAAAGACAGAGAAAGATCTTCTGTCTGCTGATTCATTCCCCATGTGGCTGCAACAGCCAGAGCTGAGCTGATCCAGAGCCAGGAGCCAGGAGTTGCTTCCTGGTCTCCCAGTGTGGGTACAGGGGCCCAAGGACTTTAGTCAACCTCCACTGCCTCCCCAGGCCATAAGCAGGGAACTGAATCAGAAGTGGAGCAGCCGGGGCTAGAACCACTGCCCATGTGGGATGCAGGCAGAGGCTTAGCTTGCTATGCCATGGCACCTCCAAATAAAACTTTTTAAAAATAACAGTAAGTGTTTATGGGTAATGGAAGTACAGGATTCCAGACTGGGATGGATAAGTGTTGGGAGCCCAGCTCTGAGAAGGCTTCTGTGCAAAACAGCTGGAGGCCTGAGTCCATGCTCGCACAAACCCTGAGGGAGCTGGGGCTGCACCTGGCGTTGACTGTGAAGACCCTTATGAGTTATTCCCGCAGGTGCCTTGCTAAACTTTTGAACCCTGTCACCAGGGTTTGTGATGACACCTAGGTATTAAGGTTGGAGAGTAGCACTAGTTAGGCTGACAGACAGGTGACATTCATGTAAAAGAAGGAAAAATGGAATAAGTAAAGGGACAGGCGTGGTGGCATAGCAGATAAAGCCATCACCTGTGGCACCGGCGTCCCATCGGGGTGCTGGTTCAAGTCCCGATCGCTCCACTTCTGATCCAGCTCCCTGCTAAGACACCTGGGAATCAGGGGGAAGTGACCCCAGTGCTTGGACTGCTGCACCCACAAGGGAGATTCGGAGGAAACACCTGGCTTTGGCTTGCCCCACAGTGCTGCAAGTCATGGTGGCCATTTGGGCAATGAGCCAGCAGATGGAATCTCTGTATCACTCCTCTCTCTGTAGCACTACCTCTCAAATACAAATCCTTTTTAAAAATATTGTGAATGGATCATATGAGGGCACTGTTCAGTGCACGGCATCAGCTAAGGGGTGTGTGGCAGAGGGCCTGGCTGCTGGTGAGTGCTCAGGAAATGGAAGCAGTGATAAGGCTCCTGGGGGCAGGGGGGGCAGTCAGCACCAGGACGGATGTGGGCCTCTTCACCTGCCAAGTGAGGGCAGGTGGCCAACACCAGGACTACCTGAGCAGTGCCTCAGGCTCCCCTGCCCTCCAGCGAGGGCTGACCCGAGACAGGCAGGTTTCCAAGCTGAATGGAGTTGTTCCCGATTGGGGCTGAGGAGCCACAGAGAAGAAGGGATTGGAGTGAATGATCCCAAGTTCGAGTTCCCAGGTTTTCCATTCATTGGTAGTGCAGTAATACTGATGATTTTGCTAAGGTTGTAAAGAAAAGCCCTGGGGAAGTGCCAGGAGGCCTGGAATGGGCAATAGAGACTGTGTCTCTCCCCACGTGCAGCACCAACGTTCCGCGGGGCGCTGCCGTCCCCTGGCACACGCTCAGAGACCTGGAGGGGTGGAGGGAGTTCATGTCAAACACAGTCACAGCTTCCTTCGTCAGCTTTGGGATCCTCGGAGCCCAGATACAAAACCATAGATCCCCTTGCGTGAATCTGCTTTTGGAGGAGAGGTTAGTAAGAAATAGTGTTGGGCCCGGCACGATAGTGTAGCAGTTCAAGTCCTCACCTTGAACACACCCTGGCATCCCATATGGGTGTCGGTTCTAGTCCCACCAGCCCCATTTCCCATCCAGCTCCCTGCTTGTGGCCTGGGAAAGCAGTCAAGGACAGCCCAAAGCCTTTGGACCCTGCACCCGCATGGGAAACCCAGAAGAGGTTCTGGGCTCCTGGCTTTGGATCGGGTCAGCTTCCAACCTTTGCGGTCACTTGGGGAGTGAACCATCGGACGGAAGACCTTCCTCACTGCCTCTCCTCCTGCTTCCTGTATATCTGCCTTTCCAATAAAAATAAAATAAATCTTAAAACAAAGGAAAGAAGGAGGAGAGTTGGAGGTTGGAGGCATGTGAGAGGCGAGTATGGTTATCTTAGAATTCTATGAAATACATCAAATCTATCCCCTTTATATTAATACAGATTTTACACTTGATCTTAGCCAAAAGGCCGAGAAGCAATTATTAATACAGAAAAAGGACTATGCCCCAAGAATATGAACTACTTGCTCGTTTGAGCACCCTGAGCTTCTGAATGGGGCTTTTGGCCCGGCCCACCCCAGCTGCACCCTCTGCAGGCATTTTGGGGAACGAGGCAGTTCTGTCCTGCTTTTACCTGGAGCTTCGTCTCTGTCTACGTGTGCGTTTCTGCCTTTCAAATACATAAACACAAGTTAAAGAAACTACCATTTCAGGTGAAATGGGTCCACCATGATTTTGACGTGGCTGCCCCCTGGTGGGCAGAAGGTGGATGATGACAGCTGAAGCGATGGCCTCCGGGTCCCCCTCCCTGGGGTGTGGATGCTGCAGGACCAGTCTTCAGCCAGCAGAGGCCACAGGGTGTGGGTTAACAGGAGGACACCGTCACCAAGGCGACCCTTCTCCCTGCAGGTGAGAGACGGCCCATCATATGGAACCACAGTCACCTGGTGCAAACACCCCCACTCCAGATGCAGCCACAAAGCGCTGGGATGATGGGGTCACGTTCAAGACTCATACTCCACCCCCAGGGGCAGAGATGTGGGGTGGACAGAGGGGACCCTGCAGGACACCAGAGGAGGGTTAGCAGTGGCTGGCAATGGGGACATGGAGAGTTCCCAGGAATCGGCGGGTCCTCAACAAGTGGCAGGCAAAGAGATGTCACCGAAGAGAACTAGGCAGGATCCCCGGGGGGTCAGGAGAACGTGGTGAGACTGCAGGCCAGGGCTCCAACTCTGGATTCAGCAAGGATTCTGGTCGGCTACCCCTGCCTGCCGTGGGAGCTCTGGTCCCCATCCTAGCTGCTGCACTTCAACTCCAGCTCCCCACAACTGCAGCCTGAGATGGCCCGGTCCTTGGGCCACCCACACAGCAGGCTGGTCAGAGTCTTTGCTTCCACAGTCATTTTGGTGGAGGGGGGCGGTAAACTAGTTGGATGGAAGATATGTCAAGATTTATTTATTTTTATTGGAAAGGCAGATACACAAACAGAAAGACAGAGAGGAAGATCTTCCATCCAATGGTTCACACCCCAAGCAGCTGCAACAGCCGGAGCTGAGCCGATCCAAAGCCAAGAGCCAGGACTTTCTTCCAGGTCTCCCATGCATATGCAGGGTCCCAAGGCTTTGGGCTGTCCTTGACTTCTTTCTCAGGCCACAAGCAGGAAGCTGGATGGGAAGTGGGGCCACTGGGGTTAGAACCGGTGCCCATATGGGATCCCAGCATGTTCAAGGTGAGGACTTTAACCACTATGCTGTCACACCGGGCCCCCAAATAAATATTTGTAAATAAAATAAAGAATCCTGATAGACTGCAGACCCTCCCCCTACAACCTGTGGGACCATGCTCAAACACCCCCACAGCGGCCTGCCATCTCCCTGGCTCAGCTAATCGCCATCATAAGGCAGGAGTCGTACTGTGGTCCCGTCTACTCTCAGTAGAGTATATTTAAATAAAACTTAACATTTAGAAAGAAAAAAAGCGGAAGGAGGAGGAAGGACTTTGAAATATTGGAAATACTCCATTTCTCGACCCGAGCGCTGGTGACACGGGTGTGCGCATGTTACCATAATTCATTCAGCTGTGTGCATAATTTGTGCTCTTTTCTTTTACATGTTATGGTAAATAAGATTTTGGAAAAAATAATGTGCAAAAGTGGCCAAAGCAATTTTAACGGTAGCAATGGGTGTGGGTGCAGACAAATGCGCGGCTGGAAAAGAACACCCCCCCCAAAAAAAAATAAGCTGTGAATCTAGAATAGCTTGGTCTATCACCAGGGGCATTATAATCACAGAAGAACAAGGACCTTCGAGCAAGCAGCACCCGTGCACGGGAGCTTGGGAACGCCTTGCTGGGCTTTTATGTTGTTAGACTCATCAGCGTACTAACCCTGATATCAACCCTAAATCCTGTGAGCTGCGGCCTCAGCCACGACCAGCTGCGTTGGCGCTTGGGGCCGCTGGGGGGCGGCATCGAGCGGCTCGCGGGGACCGCGCTACCACGCGTGCGCGGCGCCCTTGGGCCGCTCCGGCGGCGGCCCCCCTCGGTGTGCGCATGCGCATGCGCATGCGTGGGTGCTCACGGCGTCCCCAGGCTGGCATTGCGGACATGCGCATTGCGGGCCTGCACACGCCCCGGCGTGCACAGCTGTGAGCCGTGCGCCCTGCGCCCTGCGCCCTGCGCCCCCGGCCGGTTCCGCAGCCGCGCCCGGTCCCCCGACTCCCCGGCACCCCGACTCCCCGGCACCCCGACTCCCCGGGCCGACATGTCCCAGCCGCCCGCAGACTGCAGCCAAGGCGACGCCCCGCGCGCCGAGGGAAGCGGCGGGAGACGGGAGCCGGAGGAGGCCGGGGGAGGCGCGATGGCGGCAGCCCGGGGAGCCCGGCTGGCGGCGGCCCGAGCTGGAGGAGCTGGCCCGGCACCAGCAGCAGCAGCCGCGTCCCGGGAGGCGCGCATGGCAGAGGTCGCCCGACTCCTGGGGGAGCCCCTGGAGGACGAGGGTCCCGAGGGCAGGCCGCGCTCGCGGGGGGCGCTGGCCGCCTTGCCCTACCTGCGCCTCCGGCACCCTCTGAGCGTATTGGGGATCAATTATCAACAGTTCCTCCGCCACTACCTGGAAAACTACCCGATCGCCCCCGGTCGCATCCAGGAGCTGGAGGAGCGGCGGCGGCGCTTCGTGGAAGCCTGCCGGGCGCGCGAGGCCGCCTTCGACGCCGAGTACCAGCGCAACCCGCAGCGCATGGACTTCGACGTGCTGACCTTCACCATCGCCCTGACCGCGTCCGAAGTCATCAATCCCCTCATCGAAGAACTGGGCTGCGATAAGTTCATCCACAGGGAGTAGCTGGAGTGGTGAGGTGGGGAGGAGTGGAGGTGGGGGAGCCTGGGCCTCTCGCTGCGCTCAGCCTTGGACACTGGACAGAAGTCCACCACAGCGAGCCCATGGGCCACGAGGGACGCCCGGGAGCCCCCTGCGAAAGCAACAGCAAAAACGGGACGACGCCGAAAGCATTGCAAGACACCCCCAACCCTGCGCGCCTGCGTGCGCCCTCGCGCGCGCACCCCCAGTTGGTAGTGAAGCCGGTTTCTTCCCACCCTCACGCACCTTGCAGGATGCCTCCTCCTTGCTGCGTTGGTCTGTAGGAACTCGGGGTGTGGGTTCTGCTCCCGGAGCCCTGGGTGAGGAAGGGATCGTGACCCCACTCCAGCAGAGGCACCGTGCCACACAGCTGAGGTTGTAGGAGCCAGAGGCCGCGGACTGCGCGCGGTCAGCCTCTCCTGAAGGCCAGGAGCGCGCAGGGTGACGTCGGGTTGTGTGTTTGGCCGCGGCGGTGCAGATGGCGAGCCAAGTACCTGCTGCTGTAGATAAGACATGATAAATCGTGTTTTCCAAAAACGCCAGGTTTCTGGGTTTTGTGTTCGTTTTTCAGATGGCGTTGCAAAGTCTTTTGGTAAAGGGTGTGTCGGCGCTCCCTTTAGATAGGAACTACACAGCGGCGAGGGCTCTCCACCTAGCGGTGGTTGCAAGCCGGGTCGCTAGGTGGAGATACACAAATAGAAATCCCGGAATTTGTTTTCTTTTGTTTTTGCACTTCTTCACAAAGTTGGCATATTATAATTAATGGTTTATATGCAGCCTTTTCGTCAGGAACATATCCTTTGAAACCACCGTATTTCCTTATTGTTTTTTAGAAACTGTGTGTATTTTTTTTCTCTCTTCTGTAATTAGCCAGGAATATCCTTTTGGTTGTTTAGGCTGTTACCTGCCGTTTTCTTTTGGCAAAAGAGAATTGCTGTGCCGGCTCGTTTCATACGCCTGTCCCGTGACGTGGCGCGGCGCGCACACAGCATTGCTTCCATCCGAAATACAATGTTCAGATTTCAACGTTTCTGACATGAGAGTTACTTCAAAGGGTAATTTTTTTATATATATAAAAGTTGTGTTGGATCATGTACGCATGATCTTGGAGCCTTTGTTGCAGATAAGTGGGATTAAATCTCAGAGTTCTGGGCCAAGGAACACCCGTGGGAGCTCACGGGGGCAGCTAAGTCCACCCCGGGGGGTGATTTTAGATTCCCACTGGTAATTGACAAGCAGTGTTTTCACCAGTGTTTTAAACCAACAGATACCCAGATGTTGCCAATCTGATCGTTGAGAAAGGGGGGCATATCCCTTTAAATTGGCTTTTCTGGGTTCTGCAGAGGAAGCTTCGAAAGGTGCATGCGAAGTGGGAGGCACCGGTAGTGCTGGTTTTGCTGCACGGTTGAAATCATGCATGGTTTTGGTAGCACGCATTTTCCGTGGACTTGGTGGAGATCCTTCATGACCCCTTGTCCGTGAGTTTTCTCTTCGTGTCCATTATCTGTTTCTGAGTAACTTTCTGTATTGACTGTCATATCTTTATTCATGCAATGAAATATGAAAAAGCTGTGGTGTTCGTTATACATTGTTCTAGCTTATTTATCTTTGGATTTTCTGAAAGCCTTTGGACATGCAGTTTTTTGTCTTGACTTCCTTTAACTTATGTTTATTTATTTGTTTCCCAACGGTTTATTTATTTGAAAGACAGAGTAATAAAGTGAGGCCGAGACAGATTTGCCATCCACCAGTTTATTCCCCAGCTGACCCATTGGCCAGGTCTCCCATGTGGGCAGGTGGCCCAAACATTGGCACCGTCCTCTGCCGCCTTCGCCCGGCCATCAGCAGGGAGCTGGGTCAGAAGTGGAGCAGCTGGGACTTGAACTGAATGCCCACATAGGCTGTGGGCTTTAGTGGCGGTGGCTTTGCCTGCCGTTCCACAGTGCTGGCCCTTCCTGTGTCCCCTGTGCTCCGAAGGTTTGGTGTGTCCTGGGGAAATAAATCCAGTGTTCATATTTCAGTCTTTGAACCATTTGAAACTTATCTTAAAGATGTAGTGCAAGCTTAAAGACTTAATTTTTTTTTTTAATATGACTTCCTTGGGGGGACCTGCACAATAGCTCAACTGGCCATCCTCCACCTGCAAGCACCAGCATCCCATACAGGAGATGGTTCGTGTCCTGGCAGCTCCACTTCCATTCACAGCGCCCTGCTTAGGGCCCGGGAAAGCAGCAGAGGAAGGCCCAATGCCTTGCAACCCGTATCCACATAGGAGACCCAGAGGAGGCTCCTGGGTTCTTGCTTCAGATCAGCTCAGCTCCAGCCATTGCGGCCATTTAGGCAGTGAAACGAGCAGATAAAAGATTTTTTGCTGTGTCTCCTGCCTTTCCAGTAAGAACAAATCTTCAGCTTAAAAGAGAGCAAGCGCTGACGTGCAGCTCTGTCCATCTTCTCCAAGCCACCCCTGGCCCAGCCAGCGCATCCAGCAGGGTGTGCACCCCAGCTTGACCTGGTCCCAGGGGAATTAGAGGAGACTGCATGGAGATCCACACGGGGGCTGAAAGCAAGGCCAGGAACGTTGGAGTGAGAAATTCTGGGAAATTAGTATTCTGAAAGTGAATCCGAATTGCATGAAGAAAATAGTCACTAGGGGTGGCATTGTGGTGTAGCCAGCTAAGCCATCGCCTGCAACACCCAGTGTCATAGGCACAGGTTCAAATACTGGCTGTTCCACTTCTGATCCAGCTCCCTGCTGATGCACCCGGGAAAGCAGTAGAAGACAGTCCATGTGTTTGGGACCTTGGACCCACGTGGGAGACCTGAACAAAGCTCTTGTATTCAGCCTGGCTCAGCCCCAGCCATCATGGCCATTTGGTGTGGTGAACCAGAGAATGCAAGATGTCCCTCTGTCTCTCCCTCTCTATAACTCTACTTTTAAGCAAATAAAATTAATTTATTTAAACAAAGAAAAAGCTTCCATTCGATTTGTTCCCCCCAAATGCCTACAACAGCTGGGGCCAGGCAAAGCTGAAGCCAAGAGCCTAGAATTCTGAGCTCCCGCGTGGGTGGCAGGGTCTCGGGACCTGCTCCCTCCCACACAGGTTAGTAGGAAGTTTGATCAAAAGCCAAGGAGGGGGGCCAGCACAGTAGCCTAGTGGCTAAAGTCCTTGCCTTACACGCACTGGTATCTTATATGAGCGCCAGTTTATATCCTGGCTGCTCCACTCCCCATCCAGCTCCCTGATTGTGGCTTGGGAAAGCAGTTGAGGACAGCCTAAAGTTTTGGGACCCTGAATCTGTGTGAGAGGCCTGCAAGAGGCTCCTGACTTCAGATCAGTGCAGCTCTGGCAGTTGTGGCCACTTGGGGAGTGAACCAGCAGATGGAAGATCTTTCTGTCTCTCCTTTGCTCCATAAATCTGCCGTTCTGATGGGAGACGTCCTTTCGGAATCAGTGTTGTGGCACAACTCGGTGATGCCAGCATCCCGTGTCAGAATACCAGTTCTGATCCAGCGTCCTCCTCACGTGCTGAGAATCACCCACCGCCCCCAAGGAAGTCCTGGGTGGGGTTTCAGGCTGGCCTCCGCCTTGCCCAGCCTGGCTGTTGTGGCTGTCTGAGCCAGCTGCTGCTGGAGCATCCCTCGGCAGCTCCTTTTCTGTCGCCGTGCCTTTCAAATAAAAATTTCGGCACAAGAAAAGATGTTCCTAATTTAATGTTCTTTTAAATATATTTATTTCTTTTTATTGAAAAGGCAGATGTTCAGACAGAAGGAGAGACAGAGAAAGAACTTTTGTCTGCTGGTTCACTCCCCAAGCAGCCACAACGGCTGGACCTGAGCCAATCTAAAGCCAGGAGCTTCATCCATGTCTCCCACGCAGGTGCAGGGTCCCAAGGCTTTGGGCCGTCCTCAAATGCTTTGCCAGGCCACAAGCAGGGAGCTGGATGGGAGGTGGAGCAGCTGCAACGATACCAACTGGTGCCCATGTGGGATCCCGGGACGTGCAAAGCCAGGGCTTGAGTCAA